TTCAATCTTCAATAGTTCAACTCTATTCAAAATGTACAGTGATGCCTCTTTTGACTCAGATGAAACCTGTTTGCCATCTGATGGGGATTTAGATTTACCAGCAGGTCCTGTATCTCCTCCTTTACTGTTGGCATCTCAGGTACCAGCAGAAAGACCTCAACGAAAAAGAAAAATGCCACTCCATATACGTGACTCAGTTGTTCAGCCATTTAAAAGGGCAGTAAAAGGTATTTCAGCTCTTAATTTATATACTTTGGATTACATATTTATAATAGGAAGAATTAAAGTAAAATGCAACCAAAGTGGTATATTCATGACTACATGCGATAAGTTAACAAAGGAGAATGGGGAAGACCTAGTTCAAAGTGACATATATGTTGGGAACAATGTCCTTTTCACAGAAGATGATGGTAAAGAGTATGACGTACAGCTAATGAGTCAAAATCCACATGAAAGTGGTAAATCCAGCATGCACTTCTTCTGTACTATAATTATCTTGTCCAATATGTCAATCCATCTTCTACTACCAAAAAAACAATTTCAAACAAGAAAAAAAAGGTAGAAAAGAAGAAAGTCAGTACTGCATTAATGGCTAATAGAGTAAGAAATCACAACATCCACTTTGGTGTGAACCACAAACTGCAATTAACACATAGGCAAAGACCTATGAAGAACCAATTAATACACAGGCACTTTTAAATGAAGCATCCCAACTTATTAAGCCTAATTCTACTCCAACTACCTCAAAACAGAAGATTGAAGACAATGACAGAGTTAGTCTCATAATTTAACAAAATAATTATTTCATAAACAAATTTAATATTCATGATAGGAGCTGCTTATTCGTATTGACAGAAGACTAGAACGAATTGAAAAAATGCTACTTAATGACAAGTCCAAAGCAAGTGCAGATGTTGCTATTGATAATGAGAAGTATATTGTAAGTTACAGAATAATTATTCATTATTTTGGTACTTATTAATATGGAGAATTTTTAAACAGTATAATGAAACTGACTTGTCCAAGATACCATCAAGTGATGCGTATAGTTATGGCAGGATTCTATTAGATGCTCTTTTTACTAAATCAGAGCAAAAAAATGGTGTCTTATTTGAAACTTCAAAAAGTAAAAAGAAACCTCTGGACATCAATAGGGTTAATTTGTTACTAAGTGAGTATCATTGTTACAATCAGATATGTATTTATCATGTATTCGTGTTGCAGATTGTGTTGATCAAAGATATAAAGAGTATTCGTTGCAGAAAATGCGAGCAACACTGAATCAAAAATGCAGGGATGCCAAGGAAGTTTTAGTTATACAAGATGATGATTAAAAGTACACGTATATATGAAACTAGTCTCTCCTTCAATTAAACAAATTTAGTTAATAATTATTGTATAATTACTCAACAATTCAAAAATTATGTACATTTGGAAACCATTGTGATTTATCACTTAATGTAATAAAACTTATAAAAGGCATTGTGGGAAAAAATATGCTGTAATCTTGCCTCATCGAAACCTGAACTGTGACATTGCACAATCTATCAAGATCTTGTAACATCTTTGTTCCAAAATCAGGTGAGATCGTGTGTAGGGATCTTGAAGAATTGTAATAAGATCCTGGAATATGACATTGCAAGATCTACTGTGAACTTGTTTAATCGATTGGGTAAGATCTTGCAAGAATCTTGTCAAGATTCATGTTTAGATCATTAAGGATCATGGCAAAATCATGAAACATGATATTGTAAGATCTAACAAGAACTTGAAAAATCTTTGTTCCAAAATCAGGTAAGATCTACCAATAATCTTGTGTGGATCTTGCCAAGATTAAAGCTTGAAATCATGCAAGATCCTGGTGGGAATTTTTGTGAGGGAGGGGTTATTAGGACGTAGGGGTCCTGAGAACGCATGGGTTTTGAGAACGTGGGGGTCATGCATTATAACGTAGAGGTTATTACATTATTACGTATGGCATTTGCACTACGTATTTTTGACACAAACGGCTTGCCATACGCTAGACGTGATAGACACTCTATTCAAAGCTAATGCGGTCCTACAGACCCACAGAGAGAAAATGAAGAGGAGGAGCAGCTCAGTGTCTCCATTCCCTCCCTCTAATCCGCCCCCTCTAACTCTCCCTCCTCCTCTTCTATCTGGTTGGACAGAGGAGCAAGAGAGACAAGAGGAGCAAGAGAGACAAGAGGACGAGGAGATTGAGGAAGTATCGTTACTAGTCGCTCCACAAAAAGGCGTGGCTAAGTTACTCAGTGGTGGGCATGGTCATGTTGCTCCGATACAGTCAGTGTGGGAGGATAAGGAGAATCAAGTGGAGACACCCACTGAAGTATTTGTAATAGACGATTAAGACTCATCACCATTGAGTTCATGTACTACAAAAGAGACTATACCACCGGAATCACAAGAAGTTCCTTTATTCTCATTGAAAACCACACCCACTACCTCACATGATTAACCATCACAAGATATACTCTCACCCTCTCTCCTTCGATACGAGTTATTCCTACCAATGACACTAACACTGAAGATAATTCTAGTAATGTACATGTACATACAAGTACAAGTACATGTATTTCTCCTACTCAAGCTCCTTCTCATCCTTCCCCTTCCTCTAGCCCTCCCTCTCTCCATTCTTCCTCCTCTCTCTAGCTCTGTTCCTCCTCCCCCTCTTTCTCCTCTCCCTCTACCAGCTCCCTCTACCAAACAGTTATCAGATGATGAAGGTGTTCATGATGATGATGGTGAGGAAATGACTGAGTCAGAGTTGCTAGAGTATCAGTTGTTCCTCAAGAAGCTACAGAGCAGTAGTTCGGGTCATGTGGTGACTGTTGCTCCTGCTCCATAAGACAGACGTAGCTCGTACCTCAAACACAATCGCTCTGAAGTGGGCGTGGAGAATGTCACTGCTATGACGACATCAACCAGTAGTCTTAACGAGGAATCAAGACTAGAGATGGGCGATACCAAAATATTTAATTTCGATACAATACTGATTACTAATTATAGCAGTATCGGTGGTATCGATTACATAGTGATTACTTCAACACAATAATTATTTCATATCAAATTTTTATTCAAAAATAACATCATATCAACATGCTTAGACTTGATTCTGCTCCTTCTTTGTGAAATTAATTCACCAGCCTTGGAAAATACACGCTCCGACGGGACAGATGTGCCAGGAATACTTAAGAATTTCTAAGCAAAGTTGCATAAGAATGGAAACACACCCACTTGTCTTTTCCACCAAACTAGAGGACTTTCTTTCCTAACAATATTTGGTTGTTCAAAGTATGAACGCAATGTGGAAATGGCAGTTGATGTTGGTGGGCGTGTCATAACTGAAGCCGTCACTCTTTCATCAATAATAGACCAGACGTTAGGTGGACATTCAGCCGGC